TAGAGGAAGAGTCATGTGCCCAGCATGTTGATAAAGTCAAATAGAAAATAATAGAAAGCATCAGAGTGCATTACAGGCATTGTTAGCAAGAGCAGGACACTTCAGAATTTATGCTGCAGCCACTTGTGAGCTGTTATGAGACAGAATATTAGTGGAAAGGAGTTATAAATGCAGCCTACTAGCTAGAAAGAGCTTTGTTCTTTTGCTCATTAGTGTCTTATCTGAATTTGTGGCATATATTTAATAATAATAGCTAATTAATGCCAATAAGGTCTTTCTTTACATTATACCAGGGATGGTTCTAAAAACTTTCACTACATTAATTTTTAAATCTTTACAGTAAGTCTATAATCACAGGGACTCTTCTTAGTCCCATGTTACAGATGAACAGATGAAGGACAAGAGAGATAAGTAACGTGTCCAGGATACACAGCAAGCGTGAGGAGAAGCTGGGTTCAACACTTGGTGTTTGCAATCTGTATTTATAATCACAGTGCTATACTGACCATCACTAGACTGAGGTGCCAATATTGTATGAATTAATTTTATATTAACAAGATTTACATTTAATTGTGGGACAAAGCAAATAATAAACTGACTCACAGTTGGCCAAAGCATTGAGACTGAGTTTCAATGCTTGTGTGAGTTTTATTGAAAGAACATTATGGAATATGACTTTTTAGAGTTTGGGATAAATAATAACACTTTGGTTGAAATAACACAATTAGCTTTAGATAAGTAGTCTTCATTATTAGAATGAAGATAATGAAGTAAAAATACAGAGGCATGCTCATGCTTCAGCTGTGGGGGTGTATGTGTGTTAGTGGCTCGGTCGTGTCCAACTCTTCGGGACCCCATGGACTGTAGCCCACCAGGCTCCTCAGTCCATGGGATTCTCCAGGCAAGAATATTGGCATGGGTAGTCTTTCCCTTCTGCAGGAGCTCTTCCTGACTCAGGAACCAAACACAGGTCTCTTGCGTTATAGGCTGATCCGTTACCATTTGAGCCATCAGGGGAGCCCTCAGCTGTTGAGGATGGAAACAGGAACGGTCAACGTTGAGAAAATGTTGACTGTTGTCAAGGTTTGGTCAGGGAGGAACAACTAGCATGAGTGATACAGGATAAAGGATTTATTATAGCCTTTAGATCCTACGATCTAGGTCTTGTGACTTCCCTGGTGGCTCAGATGGTGATGCGGTAGAGCATCTGACTACAATGTAGGACACCTGGGTTCCATCCCTGGGTTGGGAAGACCCCCTGGGGAAGGAAATGGTAACCCACTCCAGTACTCTTGCTTGGAAAATACCGTGGACGGAGGAGCCTGGTAGGTTACAGTCCATGGGGTCACAAAGAGTCGGACACAACTGAGAGACTTCACTTTCACTTTCTTTCACTTAGCTCTTATAATTATGAGACCTAATGGATATGTCTAACCAAGGATTCTTGAGTCTGGTGTTAGATCTGATGTTGCTGTGGGCCAGTCAGGCTGGCTGTTGGGGAGGAGAATAGGACATGAAATAGGAGCAAGGACATGCTAGAATCTAGTCTTTCATCATCTCCAGCTCAGTGAGATGATGTGGGTGACCTGCAATAGAAGCTGGCATCCTTTGTCATAGAACTACACACAGACCTTCCCAGTTTGTGGAGAAGCATAAGGAGGGAATCCCCTAGAAGCCGGGAAGCTGTAGGAGATGCCATGGGCCTGGCCGTTACCTCCTACCAGTAAGATGAGCTTGCAACAGATCAGCAGTGAGGTGCCTGAGCTGCTGTATTGCCTGACACTCTTACAATGACCTTCAAGATGAGAAGGAAGGAAGAGAAAAAAGGAAGAAAGGGGAGAGAAGGGGGGGAAAGTGTTGTTTCCTCACTTTTATTTTCAAATATTAATATTATGCAAATTTATATTGTGGTCAGTCTCAGTTGGAGCCATACAAGAAGATTCTAGGAAATGCTGATTTAGATTGGCTAAGCTGATACAGTCCAATGCCACCGTAGTTCTGGTCAGTAAACTTTGATTTCTTGTAAGCTATAGCCCCAAGAGACAACTTAAGGGCAAGACTTGAAAATGAATGTTATTTCAAATGTGATTTTATCAAAGTATAAAATTAAATGAAAATGCAAACCTATTAGTGGCAGGTCATTATACATGTTGTTCAGTCGCCCAGTCCTGTCCGACTACCGACTCCCAGGGACTGCAGGACACCAGGCCTCCCTGTCCCTCACCATCTCCCGAAGTTTGCTCAAGTTCAAGTCCATTGCATCAGTGATGCCATCCAGCCATCTCATCCTCTGACCCCCTCTTCTCTTCCCACCCTCAGTCTTTCCCAGCATCAGGGACTTTTCCAATGAGTCAGCTATTCACATCAGGTGACCAAAAGCCTGGAGCCTCAGTTTCAGCATCTGACCTTTCAGTGAGTATTCAGGATTTATTTCCTTTAAGACTGACTGGATCTCCTTGCAGCCCAAGGGACTCTCAGTAGTCTTCTCTAGCACCACAGTTCGAAGGCATCAGTTCTTTGATGCTTGGCCTTCTTTACAGTCCAGCTCCCACAACTGTGTGTGCCCACTGGGAAGACCATAGCCTTGACTATATGGACCTTTGTTAGTAATGTCTTTGCTTTCCAACACAATGTCTGGTTTGTCATAGATTTCCTGCCAAGCAGCAATCATCTTCTGATTTCATGGCTGCAGTCACCACCTGCAGTGAATTTAGAGCCCAAGAAGAGGAAATCTGTCACTGCTTCTACCTTTTTACCTTCTATTTGCTATGAAGTAATGGGACTGGATGCCATGATCTTGTGATTAGTCAGGCAGGCGTGTCTGACTCTTTCCGACCCCATGGACTGTAGCCCACCAGGCTCCTCTGTCCACGGAATTCTCCAGGCAGGATTACTGAAGTGGGCTGCCATTCCCTTTTCCAGGGGATGTTCCCAACCCAGGGATCAAACCCATGTCTCCTGCCTTGTAGGCAAATTCTTTACCATTTGAGCCACCAGGAAAGCCATGATCTTAGTTTTTTTTAATATTTAGTTTTAAGACATATTTTTCTCTCTCTTCCTTCACCCTTATCAAGAGGCTCTTTAGTTCCTCTTCACTTTCTGCCATTAGAGTGGTATCATCCACATATCTGAGGTTGTTGATGTTTCTCCCGCCTATCTTGATTCCAGCTTGTAACTCATCCAGCCCGGCATTTCTCATAATGTGCTCAGCGTATAGGTTAAACAAACAGGGTGACAACAGACAACCCTGTCGTACTTCTTTATCAATCCTGAACCAATCAGTTGTTCCACACGGGGTTCTAATTGTTTCTTCTTGATCTGCATACAGGTTTCTCAGAAGACAGGTAAGATGGTCTGGTAGTTCCATCTCTTTAAGAACTTTCCACAGTTTATTGTGATCCATACAGTCAAAGGCTTTTACGTAGTCAATGAAGCAGAGATAAGACGTTTTTCTGGAATTCTCTAACTTTCTCTGTGATCCAGTGACTGTTGGCAATTTAATCTCTGGTTCCTCTGCCTTTTCTAAAGGCATCCAGGTTGGATGCCTGGAAGTTCTTGATGGGTGTAATGCTGAAGCCTAGCATGCAAGATTTTAAGCATGACCTTGCAACCGTGGGGGATGAGTGCAATTGTCTGATAGTTTGAAGTTGTTTAGTACTAGCCTTCTGGGAACTGGAATGAAGGTTGACCTTATCCAGTCCTGTGTCCACTGTTGGGTCTTCCATATTTGCTGACATGTTGAGTGCAACATGTGTCTTTATGATACATAGTTTGTACATATAAGCTTTCTCTCTTGTTTTTGTGTATCTCTTATTTTTGATTTGTGGTTACCTTGGGGTTGTATATGTTGACCTATAATTACATCTGCTTGTTTTAAACAGGTAATCATTTAAGTTCAAACACAATCTAAAAGATCTAAATAATACTCTCCCCCCACATTTTGTGCTTTTGATGTCTATTCTGCATCTTTATGTTTATCCTTTTTGTGATTATTGTAGTTATAGTGGATTTTACAATTTTTCTGTCTTTTAATCTTCATACTAGCTTATTTAAGTGGTTGATCCTCAGCCTTTATAATATGTTTACTTTTACTAGTGGGAATTTTCTTTTCCCATAGTTTCTTACTTCTTAATATAATCTTTTCTTTTCTACTTAAGAAGACTCTAACATTTCTTTTTGGGTAGGTGTAGTATTGATGAACTCTTAGTTTTTGCTTGTCTGAGAACTTCCTTACCTTTCCTCAATTCTAAATGATGATCTCACTGTGTAAAGTATCCTAGGTTGCAGGTCTTCCCTTTCAGGTCTTTAAATGACCTGCAAATTTTATGCAGAAAAATCACCTGATAGTCTTATGGGGCGTTCCTTTTTATATGACTCTTGGTTTTCTCTTGTTGCCTTTAGATTCTCTTTGACTTTTGCCATCTCAATTATGATATGTCTTGGTGTGGTTGTTGTCTGGGACCCTCTGTTCTCCCTGACTTGGATATCTGTTTCCGTCCTCAGGTTTGTAAAGTTTCAAGCCATAATTTCACAAAATACATTTTTGACCCCTTTCTTTTCTCCTGGGACCTAGATAGTGCGAATGTTGGTATGCTTGACATTGTCCTAGAGATTCCTTAAACCATTCTCATTTAAAAAATGGTTTGTTATTATTTTACTGTTCTAATTGGGTGATTTCCATTAGTCTGTCTTCTCCGTGATCACTTAACGTGTTTTTCTGTATCACCTAGTTTTCTGTTAATTCCTTCTGGTGTGTTTTTTTATTTCAGTTACGGTGTTCTTCAGTTTTGACTGCTTCTTTTCTGTGTTTCTAATTCCTTGTTAACATTGTCCCTGCGCTCATGGGGTCTTTTCCCTCAGTCAGTTAGCATGCTATTACTGATGCTTTGAGCTTTTTGGTGAAGTGTCTCTTTTCCACCAGTTGTTTTTTCAGAGATGTCTTCTCCCTCTTTCAGTTGAAACAAAGCCCGTTGTTTCCTTATCTGCCTTCCGTCTCTTAGGGAAGCAGGCGGAGCAGTTATTATCATCGCGGGCCGGAAGGATGTGGGTGTCGGGAGCGCTTCTGCAGTCCGTGTGCCGGGCTGCGGCGGGAGGGCTGGGTCAGGTGTGAGCGCAGGTCCCCCCTCCCGCAGCCTGTGCAGGCGGCCGTCACGTCGGTGGGGGCCGGGCTGGAGATGAAGACGCTCAGGCCGAGCCGGGTGCGGGCTCCTCCTCGCCCAGCCAGCGTTAGGCCCGAGCTGCTGGAGCAGAAGCCGAGGGCCGGCCCCGTGCCTGAAGTGTGAGCGCTGCCCTCTGCCGGGGGTCCCCGGTGGCTCAGATGGTCAAGAACCCGCCTGCAGTGTGGCAGGCCCAGGATGGATCCCTGGGTCGGGAAAACCCGCTGGAGGAGGGCGTGGTGACCCACTGCGGTACTCTTGCCTGGAGCATCCCATGGGCAGAGGAGCCTGGTGGGCCACAGTCCATGGGGTCGCAAAGAGTCAGACATGATTTCACACACACACACACACACGCGCGTGTGTCCACATCCCTCGGTAGCAGAGACCAGGCTTCCGACAGGCCCCCAAGAGTCAGACATGATTTCACATACACACACACACACACACACACACACACACGCGTGTGCACATCCCTCGGTAGCAGAGACCAGGCTTCCGACAGGCCCCCAAGAGTCAGACATGATTTCACATACACACACACACACACACACACACACACGCGTGTGCACATCCCTCGGTAGCAGAGACCAGGCTTCCGACAGGCCCCCAAGAGTCAGACATGATTTCACACACACACACACACACGCGCGTGTGTGCACATCCCTCGGTAGCAGAGACCAGGCTTCCGACAGGCCCCCAAGAGTCAGACATGATTTCACACACACACACACACACACACACGCGTATGTGCACATCGCTCGGTAGCAGAGACCAGGCTTCCGACAGGCCCCCAAGAGTCAGACATGATTTCACATACACACACACACACACACACACACACACGCGTGTGCACATCCCTCGGTAGCAGAGACCAGGCTTCCGACAGGCCCCCAAGAGTCAGACATGATTTCACACACACACACACACACACACACACACCCAAGGAGAGTGAAGGAAAGTTCAGGAATGCTAAATGAATACATACCAATCATGGTATCAATCGGTGTCAGTTTCTTTACCTATGAAGTGGGAATAAAGTCTTATTTCAGAGTATTAGTCTGAGAAGCATTTAACATGTTTATTAGAAAAGTGCTTTGTCACTGTAAAATACTGTTATTATTTTTACATTTCTGCTAATTATTGAACTAGTATCCATAAGACATGTACACATCTTAACCCATGTGCTTATTTGTTCTTTTATATGGTAGTCTGTCTTGCTTCTTAATCATAGATTTCTTGATGGCACAGTCTCAATTTAAGTTGCCATGTATGAGACCTAACTCAGTGTTCTATAGAAATAATAAAACTTTATGGATAAAAATTACTTGTCAAAATAATAATGTTTATAAGGCTTACAGGGCTTTGAGTACTCCAGTTCCTATGTAACTTGAGAAATGAATGAATAAATTAACGTTGAGTACAAGGGGAGAATCGACTCACTAAACCTGATTTGCCTACACCTATGTGCCTTTGCCTGCTAGATTTATTGAACATTTAGAAGGCTTCAGAAAGTGCGCAAATTAATTTCCTTTTTATTTTGTTTCTTTGGGGATGAAGGAAAATAAAATATTTAGCTGTGAAGTTTCAAGACATTCTGTTTTGGTGCATGCTTCATCATATTTATTTCTGTAAGAAATGGCACTAAATGCATCTTAATAAAAATTTTTATTGGCCATTTGAGCATACTATTATTTTAGAGGTGCTTCGTGGAATCTTTTGCATTTTTCCATTTTTAGCTCAGTCTTTTTACTGATTCCAAAGAATTATTTACATATTGTTTCTCCCCCTAATCTTTATTGAGGTATATTTGATAAATAAAAATTATATATATGGATGTACAAAGTGATGTTTTAATATATGTATAGATTGTGAAAAGTGAAAGTGAAAGTCGCTCAGTCGTGTCCTACTCTTTGAGACCCCATGGACAATACAGTCCATGGAATTCTCCAGGCCAGAATACTGGAGTGGGTAGCCTTTCCCTTCTCCAGGAGATCTTCCCAATCCAGGGATCAAAACCAGGTCTCCCACACTGCAGGCAGATTCTTTACCAGTTGAGCCACAAGGGAAGCCCAAGAATACTGAAGTGGGTAGCCTATCCCTTCTCATGAATGTTCCCAACCGGAGAATCGAACCGAGGTCCCCTGCATTGCAGGCAGATCTTTACCAACTGAGCTACCAGGGAAGCCCAGACTGTGAAATGATTACCACAATTCAGCTAATTAACATATCCATTGCCTCACGCAGATACCATTATTATTACATTTTGAGAACACCAAAGGTCTATCCTCTTAGCAAATGTCAAGTATGTAATGCAGTGTCATTAACCACAGTCACCATGCTGCACATTAGATTACCAGAATTATTTATCCTGTAGGGCTGAAATTTTGTACCTGGTGACCAGCGTCTTCCCATTTCCTCTAGCACTTGTGACCCGGAAGCCACCAGCATCGTTCATTTTGGTGTATGAAAGTGCTGTTTTGGATGTTGATTTTGTGTATAACTTTACTGAATTTGTTCATAGTTCTAACAGTTTTTTGGTGGTGTCTTTGTGGTTTTATAAAATATAGGTAAAACAGCCAAGTGTAATCTGGCAATAACTTAACAACAGTTCAATCAGCCATGCTGGTTGCTTCAGCCTTCTGGCTGGGGCATGGAAGTAGCAGGCCTCTTGGGCAGCATTCCTCACAGCTGTGAAGGTTGGGCATTTACTGTGCTGTCACTTTCTTCATGGCGGAAATCGTGGGCTGAGAGGCCGCTCTTAACCCTGAACGGTACCATCTTGGTGAAGGCTCCTGTGGATAAAATGAAACTTCCTCTTATCCTCTTTGATGCATCTGTTCTCAGATTTTTTGCTTCAGTGGGGTGCAAGGACCTTTCCATTGAACTTCCAAGCTCTCACAAAGTTACCCTCATCTTTAAGTGTTTGTCAAAATCTATGTTTCTCTAGGTGGGGAGAGACGGCTAAAAAGTTCTATTCTACTATCTTGTTGATGTCACTGTATTTCCCAAATAAAATCCTATCCCTGCCCATTAACCGAACTGCAGATCAAGTGCGTGGTGAGAGAAAAATTTCCCTGATACTAATTAACCACTGAGTACTTCCTAGGGCTCCCCTGTGGCTCAGAGGTAAAGAACCCACCTTCAAAGCAGGAGATGTGGATTCGATTCCTGGGTCCAGACAATCCCCTGGAGAAGGGAATGGCGACCCTCTCCAGCATTCTTCCCTGGGGAAATCCCATGGACGGAAGAGCCTGGTGGGCTACAGTCCATGAGGTCACGATAGTATCAGACACGACTTAGCAACTAAAGAGCAACAGCTTCCTGTATGCCGGGCACTGTGCATTGGTGATTCACCAGCGCAATAATACTTTGAGATGGGCAAGATTACTACCCTCATTCATCCAAGGGGAAAGTTTAAGGCCAGGGAGGAAATGTGACTTAAAGGCTTTAGGCATCGACTTGTCTGCAAGCTCAGTACTGGTATCCATGTTCTTAAGTACAGTGATAGATGATGATGAATAAGATGTGCAGAGGTGATTTTGCCCGTAACTAGATCATTGAATTCCATTCAAGGTCAATAGCCAAATAATAGTTCATTTCATGCCCACAGTGGACCCTCTCGGATAAATCCACATTGTAACAGTCATTGTGAAAGATGAGGTAGGACTGTTCAGTTGCATTCATGAGACTGTTGGATATTTTTTTCTGTAACAAATTTTGAGTAACCTTAACTTCTGGGTTTCATGTGAAAATATAAAAATGAGATGATTTTTTTGGTCCTTTCTGTCCTTCAAGGGGAGCGTAGAGAGAAGAAGCAAATTTATGCCATCTTCTGGTATAAGATCTCATATAAATTAGGCATAATAAAATTTCTGTTGAGAGAAACTTTCTGCTAAATAGCTTTAATAATTGCTTTTCCAATCTGTTCAATGATTTTAAGCTTTATAGTTTATAGAAAGGAGTGATTTTTTAATGGCTGGTGTGATTATCAAATTTGAAAAACATTACTATAATCAATGGGCAACATTATGATATATATGCAAGTGAAAGGCTTCTGTCTCATTTGCAATTTGCAGCAGAAATTGATGGAGAAAATGTTGCAGCTCTTTTATGAAATGGACATAAATAGCATTATAAATGATATATAGAGGGGGCTGAATCATTGCAGTAATGAGGCTCTGACTCCAGAAATCTGCTAATCAAATTATACAGTGTGCCTTCAGGAAAAAAATTGGGAAATGGTCATAAATCAGCATTCCCAACTTTAGGTTGGCTTGTGACCTAGATTAGGCATGGGTGGGGGAGCCTGATGTTACGACTTTTCACTGACATTGCCCGTTTAGGAGTGTGGTAGGCTTACTAATGGCGGAGGGGCAGTGATGAGTTTGTGTCACTGGTAATAACACTCTCTCTCCCGTTTATTTCTTTGGTGAACTGTGCTTCCTGTTGCGGCTGCTATCTCTCTGTCGGGAGGCAGAGACGCCGTACTAGATGAGAGTGTGTAAGATCGCCACGCAGCTATAGAAATGTGAGAACAGCAAAAGTAAAGGGTGGTTGACTCACAAAGGTGCTATGAAATCTTCATGTTCAAATTTGTGCTTTCTCTTCCTTTCCTGACCATTTTCTTTACTTTAATTAATTTATCTAGCGTGCCTTTGCTCTTGATACTTTTTTAAAAAGATGCTATCATCAAGAAGCTTTGTTAAATGGTAAAGTCTTACCTTAAAATAATATGGGTGTGTATGTTTGAGGGTGTGTGTGTGGCGGGATGTGTGTGTTGGGGGTGTGGGTGTGTGTATTTTTAAACTATTTTGAGAATAACAGTTGGAAATGGCAAGGGGAAATAAGGACACCTAACCCATTTCTAGGTCTGGTGGCATGTGACATGAGGGGGAAAAAGCCTTACTTTACCTCCAGGACTCAAAAAGAAACAGTGTCGGACTTCCCTGGTGGGCCAGTGGCTAAGATTCTATGCTTCCAATGCGGAGAACCCATGTGAGTTTGATCCCTGGTAAGGAAAGGAGATCCTGCATGCTGCAACTAAAGATTCCCCATGCCTCCCAGAGAGCAAAGACCCCACTGTGGCCCAGCTGAGACCCAGCACAGTCAAGTGAATGAATATATTT